AAAAAAAAAAAATTCTTCCATAAAGAAAAGAATCAAGAAAAGAAGAGCAAATAGTGGGATGGAATGCAAGAGATTGTTTAAAAATTTTTCCAGAGGGGCTAGCAGGTAGCGTGATGTTTAAGGCACTAGACTCTCACATGGCCCACAGTGGTTCAATTCCCGGACCGTATGACTTGAAAATCATGCTGAGTACATATGTGTGTGCCTAAAATCCTAAGAGAAGATTAGAGAAGGGATTTCAGTGTGTTCATTCCCCCTGGAGGGTGGTTTCTCACTTTTCTTCTTTCTGTCTTTCTCTGGTGACCACATATGACCTGTGACAACCCACCCCCAATTTTTTTTTCCAGAGACCTGGTTTTCTAAAAATGGTAGAAATTATATTGGAGGATGATATTAGTGGGAATGATGAAGTAAAGACCTCTAGAATACCTCTCCTCCATAAAAGCAATAAGAACATTGGAAAGAATTGTCAAAATAAACTTTTTTTAGAACTCCAAAAATTAACTAAAAGCTGCCAACAATTTGAGGAACAATTTATTTCAGAAAAACATCTGAATCTATGTTAGCGCAGTGAGCTATGTGATAGTGTAACTTTCTCTATTCCCAGTACTCTATCCCCAGCTCTGAAGTATAAACCAATAGTCCTACAATCATGATGAACATCAGCAGCCTAACAACCACTGGAGGGGGCAGAATGGATTAGGAGCTCCCCAAAAGCAACATTTTTCTGACAGTGGTCTTTCTGTGACCATTCTCAAAGTTCATCGAGAAAAGACATTTCCACAAGGGTATTTGCTAAAAACAATCATCATCAATTATATCATACCATGTCTGCCTAAAGTGGCAGTAACACTTGGGTCAAACAACTAGGTGAACAAAACTTGGAAAAGGATAAGCTGGGGAATCAGATATTCCTAGGGAGATTTGTAAACTCTAATGCATTTTTAGGACTTAGAGGTTAAGTGTATGCATAGGGCTGTGTGCATGTCTAGGGCTGTAGACATGCCCAGGAAAGAACAGAGAAGTGTCCAAGTCCCCAACTTTGCCTAACTTCTAAACTCTAAGCACACAGAAAATAAAGATTAAGGCAGAGTTTTAAACTGTCCATGTAAACACTGAACATATGACAATATAAACAAAAAGCCCAATAGCAAAGTCTAGGAGATTAATGGTTCTAGGCATTGAAAGAAAGCACTTGGGTCAACAGGAGGCATGCAGTTTAAGGCACTGGATTTCATATGGCTGACTTCCCGGTTTGAATGCCTGCCAGACCAGCAGCATGAAAACCATGCCAGGCATGGGACCAGCAGATGGTATAATGATTACCTCACTGGACTCCCTCATGGTCAACCGCAGTTCAAGTCCCAGACCCAGAAGCTTGAGACTCATGTCAGGCACATGTGCATGTGTGCCCAAAATCCCAAGAGTAGAATGAAAGAGAAAGGATTGTGGTGTGGTCATTCCTCCCTGGGGGGAGGTGATTTCTCACTTTCTGTTTCTCTTTCCACTGAATGCATGCACTCTATAGTAAAAATCTCTCTAAAAGAGGAGGAAAAAAAAATGTCAGGCACATGTGTCTGCATGCCCAAAATCCCAGAAGGAGAATGGAGGAAAAGGGATTGCAGCATGGCCCCATGGGGGATAATTTCTTACTTTCTCTCCCTCTTTCTCTCTCTCTCTCTCTCTCTCTCTTTCCTGTCTCTCAAGTGCACTCACCCTATAGCAAAAAAAAAAAAAAGAAAAGAAAAGAAAAGAAGAAGGAAACTAGTGATCACTGATTAGTGACTAAAATAGCTACAAACTTTTTGAATAGGCTTAAAACCACTAAATTTGTAAACTTTACAATGGTGAAGTTTATGGTATGTGGATTATACTGCAACAAAAAATGAATGTAAAATGAATGCACAGTGACTAGCAGATGGCATAATGGTTATGTCGCTAGACTCCCACATAGTCAACCACGGTTCAAGTCCTTGATCCGGTGGCTTAAATTCATGCCAGGTGCATGTGTGTGAGTGCCCAAGATCCCAGAAGGAGAATGGAGGAGAAGGGATTGTGATGTGGCCATTTCCCTGGGGGTTGATTTCACACTTTCTGTCTCTCTAGTGACCACATGTGCCCTATAGCAAAAATCTCTCTAAAATATAAATACATTTTAAAAATAATAAGATGAATGCACAAAAGATAAACAAGCTAAAGCAATAATTGGCAAAGTTATGATAGTTATTTCATAGATGGAATATCAGTGGTCATAAAACATATATAAATTAAACTTATATAATTATCATCAATCTTTAAAAAAAAAAAGAAAGAAAAACAAAACAAAACAAAATGTTGGCACTGATCCCTAGGCCTGGCCTTAAACTAAGCCAGGAATTTTAATCCTTGCTCAAGAAAGGAAATATATCATGTTTTTGTAAACTTTGCCTTTGATCTCATCGAAAGATATCCCCTTCTTTGTCCACAGATTCCTAAGTCTGTATAAAATTCGTTGCCCCTATCATTGATTGTCTAGAATAAACACCACGCAAAAGTCAGCCTGGTACCAGAATGTTACCCCTCCACCTTGGCTACCAAGGATGTGCTCATGTCAAGCCCATCTCTCTCCCACAAGTGGTCCCAAATAGGTCCTCACCTTGAATCTGCAAGTGTTGCTTCCAGTTGATGATCCCTGGCAAGTCAAGGACCTCTTGTAATTCCTTTGGATTCTTGGAATAGATTTGGTAAGTGTTGGTGTAATAATCAAGATCATCTATCATCTCCTGGATAGTTGGAGAAAGAAAAGAATGGACTTTGGAGTACTGGGGGACCCATGCAGATTAAAGAATGGGTTATCACAACTCAGACACAAACACCACAGGGGAAGGAACTCCGGTCCCAGCCAGAGAACAGTCACTCCTACCTGTCCTTCTGGCCGGATGATGACTGTGTTAAAATTAGGCCACCCGTCCACCAGCACCTGAAGCTTGAATGGGTTCCTCTGGTTTATTTGGAAAATGGTACCGTAAACCTGTAGCAGCTGAGAGAATAGGAAGGGTCAAGACATTGGGAGAAGGTAACAAAGCATCCTTTTCAAAATAAAATCATAGATTCTCAGGGCTGCCAGGGTTAGAGTCTATGTCCAGCATGTTTACCAAGTATACCTGCTTGAAAAGAGCTCAAGTTCAGGGAAACTTGCTACCTTCAAGGGCAACCCAGTATACCCTTCATCAGATCTATTATATTTAAAAGTTGCCATCGGAAAAAAAAAATAGAAGTTCTATTCTATCACTTTCTTGATTTCTTTTTCAGTCTCAGTCTCAGGTCATGAAGAATCGAACTCCATTTTCACCCTTCAGAACATCATGTGCTACTGCCCAGTAATAATTTTGATTATTTAATATGCACATTTTACATATATCAGCTACTACCCTAGGCACTTCACTTACATTATCTAATTTAATTATTTTAAGCACCTGGTGAAATATATATTACTATTTCCATTTTAGAGTTGACAAAACTGAAGCTTAATTTCCTTGCTTACATTCACATGGATTTATCCAAGTCCAGTCTTCATGATTGTTCCACTTTGACATTCTACCATTTATCTAGTGTGATCAAAGTTAAGGGAATAGGTATGGGAGAAATAATGATAGAAAGAAGACAGTCCAAGGTGTCATGTTTATTGGGAAAGTAGTGAAGTAAAAAAATTGCTTTTTATTTGCAAACCAATTTGACTTCAGTTAGGTCTGGGATCTGGAGGTAGTAACAATACCCTTCAGAACTTGGATTCCCTACCATTACACAGGAAGCTCAGAGGGTCCTTCATAGACTCTGGATAAAGCTTTCCCACTTACTCACTGTGAGACCTTAAACAGCCTACCGAAGTTCTCAGTCCTCTTTCTTTATTTTTATAATTTAGGGGATTTTTTTCCTGTTAATGCATTTAACTAGTATTAAATGAAGATAGGAAGAATAAAATAAACACACAAATCTATCTGACACATAGCACTTTTAATGTTATCTGCTATTACCACATACCTTTCCGACATGAGTGGCAAAGCTAATTCCAAAGCCAAAATGTCAGGACCCAAATCCTACACTTTTATTATCATGCATAGGGTTGGGATGGAACTAGGTGTAGTAGAAAGAGTACATTTCTATTTCTACTAAATTTCATAAGCCTTTAGTTGAGTACAAGCTACTTGTACCAAAATTAACTTAGGTAAGCTCAGAAAACCACATCCCAGATTATAAAATGAATTATGAAAGGCAACTTACTTATTCTTGTCACACTAGAAAGAATTATTAGATAAAATAGAGTTTTGATTCTTCTGCACTTTGCTGATGAATATAAGTTCCCCTGTTCAGAGTGTTGGAGTGTCTTACAGAGTTTAGGAGCCTCATATTTCAGTCTTATAAGTAACACTGTAAGTAGACACCTGTGAATACCCTCTCCTAACCAGCATGCTCATACACACAGGGATTCCAATGGCTGAATTTTGCAAAGTCACAAAGGTTTTTTATTTACCCCCTTCGAGATACTTCTGGAATCCTTTGTCCCAGAGACTCCCCCATGGTTACCTTCAAGGACTCGGGAAGGGTCTTCTGCAGGGCCTTTTCCAGGACCTGCAGCATCTGTAGGCTGTAGATCTTCAGCATTGTGACTGGATTCTTTACCTGGAGGAAACCCAGAAAGGACAAGGAATGCTTTGGGGATGTCTGTCGTTTTTAAGAACTAGAAGAGGAAGATTGATAATGATCACTGACAATAGTTGTTCATAAATATTTATTTGCCTCTTCCCATCTGAAGGGCTGTCGAGGGTAAATCATAATCCTTAAACTGAATAGAAGATCTTATCAGATTATTTGGAGCAAGAGCACACAAATGAAGAAACCTTCATTTCAGTGGAATTCCCAAAGCAGTCAGGCTTCCAGGAAGAGGAAACCATGTCATATCATTTTGACAAATGCACTAAACCCTATTATTGACTAAGCAGTGCCTCTTTTTATCTCTGCAGAATGGCAAGCCATCTTGTCAAGCAAGCTTCTGCTGAGTCCCTTTGTCATGAAAATTATCTTTGAGAGGACGTTTCACAAAGTAACCTAAAGTTTATGACCATAACAAGTACCTTACTTGTTCACTTTAAGATTGGTCTTTTGACACAGCTAAGTTGCACAGGCCATAGCATACTGTAGTGCAGTGCTGGAGATGACTACCTGTGGGTCAGATCACCAGCACAGTCAATCTGAAATACAGCGGGTGTTCCAGTGTGTGTTCCAGATCCTGACAAGCTGGAGGACTGGAAGAACAAGATTGCAGCATGGCCAGACCCTACCAAGGGTGCTTCTCTTGCTTTCTATCACACAAATGTACTTTCACTAATAAAAGTAAACTTTAGGGGAAAAAAATTGCCTGTCTCAGCAGGCCAATATTCCCTGCTACAGGAACTGAATGCTTGAAGAATTCAAAGTAAAATGTCAACTGTAGTTAACCCTCCCACTTCCACATCAGAGAAACTCTCACACTGTCAGATGGACGGACAATAAGCCACACCCCAAGAACATACATGGCCCTCTGAGGGAGCAGAGCAAACTGTCTTAACAATCATGTGTTTATAAACCATCTGGTGTAGAAAGACCAGGTACAATAGCAAGTCACTCAAGGCTGGAAGGCTATGCAGCAGAGACCCTTGGCTCATCCCCTCCCCTGCTTGCCTTGAACTCTCAGTTGTGTTGGCTGGGACTCTAAGAAGACCTTATGCCCCTCCCTGCCCCATTGGGACATCAGTTACAGTGAAGGCCCTTGCCATATGGCAGACTTCTCGAGGCTGGAAGACTGTGCTGCAGAGACCCTTGGCTCATCCCCTCCCCTACTCCCCTTTGAACTCTCAGGTGTGTTGATTAGGACTCTGAGAAGACCTTGTGCCCCTCCTCCCCCCCCCCCCCCCCCCCCCACTGGAACATCTGTTCCAGTACAGGGAGAAAGAGCTGCTTAACCCCTGCTACATGCCTCATAATTCTAAGATTTCAACATTTTATAAAGCACCCAACACACAATGCAAGCCATGTGATTCCCTCCTATCTTCCTCAACTAAAAATCAGCAGCTTAGCCCCAGCACACCTGTTCTCTAGAAACTGGGAGGACTTTGAATCATCTAAAACCAATGACAACAGTACAAGTTGCTGATGAGCATTAGGAGGGAGAACAGTAGAGAGATCACCAATAATCTACTCCTATAAGCCTTTGAATGCTCAGAATTAACTCAAAGAATTTATGAAGGAACATGTAAATCACCAGAGGACTAGAAACCATTGCAGAGGCACAAGAAATATAAGCAACCAAGAAATTATCTCTCCCCAAGGAAAAACATCAATTCCTCATCATCCACAGACAACACAATGGCACTCATGGAAATGTCAGATAAACAATTCAGAATATTTACAATGACAAAAATAAATGAGATGCAAGGGAAAAGAAACAATGAGCTCCAGGAGATGAGGAAGTCCTTTCACAATTTGAAAGAAGAAATAAATACCATAAAAAAAAATCAAACAGAATTGTTAAAGATGAAGACTGTGATACAGGAAATTAAAACCTCCCTCAAAAATATTTTTTTTGAGAGATTTTCACTGTAGGGCGCGTGCGCTCGCCAGACAGACAGAGAGAGACATAGAGACAGAAAGCGAGAAATCACCCCCCAGGGGGGATGGTCACGCCGCAATCCCTTCTCCTCCATTCTCCTCTCAGGACCTTGGGCACGCACGCGCCCGGCGTGAGTTTTAAGCCACCGGGTCCAGGAAACGAACCGCGGTCGACTACGTGGGAGTCCAGCGACATAGCCATTATGCTAACTGCTGGTTCCCGCTCAAAAATATTAAAAGCAGATTAGATCATGCAGAAGATCAAATCTTGAATGTAGAAGACAAAAACCTCTGACCTAGGAAAAATTATCAAAAAGACTGTGAAAAGGGACCAGCAGTTGGCATAATGGCTATGTCACTGGACTCCCATGTAGTCAACCTCGGTTCGAGTCCCAGAACCTATGGCTTAAACTCATGCTGGGCATGTGTGTGTGCATGCCCAAGATCCTGAGAAGAGAATGGAAGAGAACGGACTGTGATGTGGCCATCCCCTCCGGGGGTGATTTCTTGCTTTCTGTCTCTCTGTCTCTGTCTTTCTGGTGAGTACGTGTGCCCTACAGCAAAAAACCTCCCAAAATAAAAAATATAAAACAACTGAGAAAATAACCAAGAAGAATGAGGACAATATATGAGAAATTCTAGATACAATTAAGCACCCAAACATCCAGATAATTGGTACCCCAGAAGGTGAATAAAATAATAAAGGCATTGATAATTTATTCCATGAAATCCTGGAAGAGAATTCTTTAAACCTAGAGAGGCATTCAAATATACAAACCCAAGTAATACAAAGGACCCCAAATAGAATCCACCCAAGAAGATCTTCTCCAAGGCACATCATAGGCAGATTGACCAAAACCAAAGACGAGATACTAAGTTTGGCAAGAGAGAAACATCAAGTTACTTACAAAGTTTATCCCATCAGGTTAACATCGGACCTCTCATCAGAAACAATGCAAGCAAGGAAAGAATGGGGAAATATAGTCAAAGTATTAAATGAAATACAATTTCAACTAAGATTACTGTATCTGGCAAATTACCATTCATACGGGATAAAGAGATAAAAACAGTCTCAGATAAACAAAACCTGAAAGAATTTACCAAATCCAGACCAACTCTTCAGGAAGTTCTAAAGGGAATGCTATACCAGGAAAACTAAAGCCAGACAGGCAGATATAAGAGAACAAAAACAACCAGAAAATGGCTCACTTAATAATAAGAACATGTCCAGAAATATCTATAATAATATTGAACATTAATGGATTAAATTCTCCAATCAAGAGACACAGACTAGCTGAATGGATTAAAACAAAACAAAACAAAACAAACAAACAAAAAACAAAACAAACAAACAAACAAAAGAAAACAAAAAAACCAGAAACCTTCTATCTGTTGTTGTCTGCGAGAAATGCACCTTATGGATATGGATAAAGACATAAACAGTGAAGGGCTGGAAAAAGGTATTTCATGCAAGCAGAAATAAGAAAAGCGCTGGAGTTGTGATACTTATTTCAGACAAAATATAAGAAGAGTTTTATATAACAGTAAAAGGGCTAATTCATCAAGAAGACACAACTCTTACAAATATCTATGCACTCAACTCAGGAGCACCTAAATACATGATGGAAAGACTGCTAGAGCTAAAAGGAGAAGTAGGTTGCAACACTATAATCGTTGGGAATCTCAATACCCCATTATCTCCTTTAGACAAATCTTCTAGACAAAAAATAAGCAGAGAGATACAGGACCTAAATGATACTATAAATCAAATGGAATTGACACATCTATAGAACTTTCCACCCTAAGACCACAAGACATACATTTTTCTTTCCCCCTCTGAAAGAAACCTTTTCAAAGATTGACCATGTGATTGACCACAAGTCAAGCTCATAGAAATTCAAAAGAATAGAAACTATATCCAGCATCTTCTCTGACCATGACGGAATTGAACTTCATATTGATTTCAGAAAAAATTCTCAAAAATACACAAACATATGGAAACTAAACAATCTACTTCTGAATGACTTTTCAGCTACTGAAGAAATTAGTCTGAAATTAAAAGATTTATGGAAACAAATGACAATGAGTACACAAATTTCCATAGTCTATGGGACACTGCAAAAGCAGTCATAAGAGGGAAATTCATAGCAATTAGTGAACATAAGAAAAAGATGGAAAGGTGCCAAATAGACAACCTACCATCATGCCTCAGGGAATTGGAAAAACAGACTAACGAAAATTCCAGGAGAAAATAAATAATAAAAATTCAAAGAGAAATAAATGAAATAGAAAATAAACAAACTATACAGAAAATAAATGAAAGCAAAAGCTGGTTCTTTAACAAGATTAACAAGATCGACACATAATTAGCTAGTCTGATGAAGAAGAAAGAAAGAAACCAGATAAATTAAATATGTAATGAAACAGGTCATTACAACAGACACATAGAAATACAAAGCATCCTTAGAGGATACCATGAGTGACTATATGCCAACAAACAAAAGAGCATGGAAGTAGATGAACAAATTCCTGGAGTCATATAATCTACCAATATTGAATCAGGATGACTAAAAATACATAAATAGACCCATAAGAAGCCAAAAGATTGAATCAGAAACAAAGAAAATAATCTCCCAACAAAGAAAAGCCCAGGTCATGATGCATCACTTCTGAATTCTACAAAACTTAATGAAGAGTTAATTCCCATTCTACTCAAATTATTTCTAAAGATCCAAAAGGAAGGAAACTCTCAAATTCATTTTATGAAGCCTCCATAATTCTCATTTCCAAAACAGATAAAGACATGACAAAAAATGAAAACTCGACCGCGGTTCACGTCCCGGACCCGGTGGCTTAAAACTCACGCCGGTGAGCCCCTATCCTAATCAAATTATTTCTAAAGATCCAAAAAGAAGGAATCCTTCCAAATACATTTTATAAAGGCTCCATCATCCTTATTCCCAAAACAGATAAAGATATGACAAAAAGGAAAACTACAGACCAATATCTCTGATGAATATAGATGCAAAAATACTCAACAAGATACTTGTAAATTGTATCCAACAACATATAACAAAGATTATTCATCATGACCAAGTAGGCTTTATTCCAGTGAAACAAAGGTGGTTCAAAATATGCAAGACCATAAATATAATCCACCATATTAACAGAAAGAAAGATAAAAACTATATATGATCCTTTCAATTGATGCAGAGAAAGTATTTAAAAAAAACACAGCATCCCTTCCTGCTTCAGATTCTTAGTAAGGCTGACATAGAAAGGTCATTTCTCAACACAGTAACAGCCATATATGAAAAACCTATAGCTAACATTATACTGAATGGGGAAAAAGTGAAAGCTTTTCTACTAAAAACTGGTACAAGAAAAAACTGCTCACTTTCTCCACTCCTTTTCAATATAGTACTGGAAGTCCTAGCCAATGCAGTTAGAAAAGAGAATAATATAGAAGGCACATAGGTTTTTTAAGAAGGGTTGAAAATATCTTAATTTACAGGTGACATGATGGTATACATAGAAGACCCAAAGGTATCCATGAAAAAACTTCTCAAAGTAATAAATGAATATAGTAAAGTAGCAGGGTACACAATCAACATCAAAAATCTATAGCATTTCAATACACAAACTACAAGCTGACCAAAGTAGAACTGAAGAAAGGAATTCCTTTTACCATAGCCACAAAATGTATAAGATATCTAGGGATAAACCTAACCAAGGAAGTCAAAGGCCTTTACAAGGAAAACTATGAAAATCTTTAAAAAGATATCAAAAAAGACACAAAAAAAGTGGAAGAACATCCCATGTTCCTAGTTTGGAAGAATTAATGTAATAAAAATGGCAATTCTACCCAAATTAACCTACATATTTAATTCAATCAAATTACCAGAGACATCTTCACAGATCTAGAACAGACAATCATAGAAGTTGTCTGGAATCACAAAAGGCCCCGTATTACCAAAGTAATTTTGCACAAGAAGAGCGGAGTGGGTGACATCTCACTCCCTGATCCCAAAATAAACTATAAAGCTGTGATAATCAAGACAGCATGCATGGTATTGGCACAAAAATAGACAAGTGGACCAATGGAATAGAAAAGAGACCTCAGAAATAAACCCCAAAACTTCCAGCCAATTGATTTTTGACAAAGGATATCAGTCAGCCCGGTGGGAAAGGAAAATTTCATTAGAAAATGGTGCTGAAAAACTGGGTATCCACCTGCAGAAAGATGAAATTGACTCCCATCTTTTATCATTAACAAAGGTCAACACAAACTGGATCAAAGATCTGAACCTAAAACCTCAAACTATAAAACTACTGGTGGAAAACACTGGGGAAACTCTGGGAGACATTGGGGTAGGCAGACTTCTTAAATAAGATCCCCAAAGCACAGGCAATAATTATCAAAATAGACAAATGGGATTACATCAGATTTAAAAAGTTCTGCATAGCAATGAACACAGTAATTAGTGTGAATCCATGACCATCGGAATGGAAAAATATTTTTCTAAACTATGCCACAGATAAGGGACTCATAACCAGAATATACAGGGAACTCAAGTTGCTTTTCAAAAAAAAAAAAAAAATTAGCCCAAGTAGGAGATTGAAAATGAGTTGAACCAAAATCTCTCTAAGGAAGACATACAAACACCAAAAAGCATATGAGGAAATATTCAGCATCCCTCATGGTAAGGGAAATGCAAATTAAAACAACACTGAGATCCCACTTAACCCCAGTCAGAAT